GTCCCTGTTTGCAGATGACGTGAAGTTGATGAGAAGAATACACTCGATCGAAGACCAGGCCCGAACTACAAAGGGATCTGGACAGGCTGCAGACCTGGTCCAGCAATTGGCTCCTGGAGTTCAATCCCACCAAGTGCAAAGTCATGAAGATTGGGGAAGGGCAAAGAAGGCCGCAGACGGAGTACAGTCTAGGGGGGTCAGAGACTACAAACCTCACTCAAGGAAAAAGATCTTGGGGTGAGTATAACACCAGGCACATCTCCTGAAGCGCACATCAACCAAATAATGCTGCAGCATATGGGCGCCTAGCAAACCTCAGAACAGCATTCCGACATCTTAATAAGGAATCGTTCAGGACCCTGTACACCGTATACGTTAGGCCCATATTGGAGTATGCGGCACCAGTTTGGAACCCACACCTAGCCAAGCACGTAAAGAAAACTAGAGAAAGTGCAAAGGTTTGCAACAAGACTAGTCCCAGAGCTAAGAGGTTTTGTCTACGAGGAGAGGTTAAGGGAAATCAACCTGACGACACTGGAGGACAGGAGAGATAGGGGGGACATGATAACGACATACAAAATACTGAGAGGAATTGACAAGGTGGACAAAGACAGGATGTTCCAGAGATTGGACACAGTAACAAGGGGACACAGTTGGAAGCTGAAGACACAGATGAATCACAGGGATGTTAGGAAGTATTTCTTCAGCCACAGAGTAGTCAGTAAGTGGAATAGTTTGGGAAGCGATGTAGTGGAGGCAGGATCCATACATAGCTTTAAGCAGAGGTATGATAAAGCTCCACGGCTCAGGGAGAGTGACCTAGTAGCGATCAGTGAAGAGGCGGGGCCAGGAGCTCGGACTCGACCCCCGCAACCTCAACTAGGTGAGTACAACTAGGTGAGTACACGCACGCACGCAACCACAAATAGGTGAGTACACACACAGACACACACAGACAGACAGACACACACACACACACACACACACACACACACACACACACACACACACACACACACACACACACACACACACACACACAAATTTAGTTTAATATCTTTATTATGCACCCCATACCCATCCTGTGGGCGGTAGTCAAAAGATTACAAAGGTACATAATGGGGAAGCAGTAGTGCAATTCTTAAAGTCATGACCCTCAAGGCCACAGGTGGAGCAGTACTTCTTGTCTTTGGAAGGGCAGTTTTTGGTGATATGCTGGTATGAGTAACAGTTATAGCACTGTGGGATTTGTTGGTATTTTTCTGCTTCAATGAAGGCTGGATTGATATGGAAGTAGTGAATAGCCAGGCCCTCAGCGAGGGCTCTGGCTGCCATGTTGACGTCACTTAAGGTGACCTTCTGCATGGAGGAGGCGATGGGTATCTTGGTAAGAAATTCCACCTTGGCCCAGGGATTCTTTGCTTCAACGGACAACCTGATCTCTTCAGTAGCCTGTGTAGTGATGAGTCTGTCGAGTCTTTTGAGGAACACAGTTCTTCGGGCCCCTCAGTGCTGGGGAATTCAGAACAGAGAATCCATAATCTTGTAGAGTGGACATAGCAGTAGTGGTGGGGCAGCTTCTCAGCCTCGGTGTCGTCAGTACAGACGACAACGAAGCTTCTTTGAGTGATAAGATCACATTACACTTAACCTGCAGTCTGTCGTTAACAAGATGCAAGTGCTAGCTTAGTTGAGTCGTTGTTTGTTCCCCTCGCTGGTTTGATCTTTACTCTATTAGAGTAATACATCGTGATAAGCAGTGTTTCCCTCCCAACGGGGATCGTAGGGATGTCTCTTCTTGATGCATTTTACTCTTTACGAAGTGTTTGCCTGTACACTAAATTATGGTCACAGACATTCTACAGTGTTAAGACATACACACAATTTATAATATTAACTAAAATATATTATTAACCTTGGTGAGACACTTTGATTCTATATACCTTAATCTGCATCAGAATCATGTAAAATTCCTCAAAAAAGCACCGAGTTAATAAGAGGAAAATGATGAACAAGTAAAACTATATCGAATCGATGTTCCCTCGAGTTTATTTTTTTTTTCCTCATTTGAAATCTCTTTTAGTTTTGCATCTGGCAATGGTGACAATGGTGGCAATGGTGAAGCTTTATGGAGCAGATTCTGCCAAGAAGATGGAAGATGGAATCATTACCACTTTTCATTAATAACATCAGATACCGAATAGATTTCATGTCCTGCTGTAGAGGTAGAATACCTTTTAATGCAGTTGGCTGAATCTCTGTACCTTGGAAATGACCCTTGACTTATGTTTTTTTTTTTTTTTTTGGGCGAGTTAAAGATGAGGGGACAAATCCTGGAGATCTTTTTCTTCAGTAATGCTTTGTTAACAACCCCCTCCCATCCCCCCCTTCGGAGAAAGCAACTTTAGTAAGGTCAGTGATTTTTTTTAAAGAATCATGACCTTGACTGGATTAATTATTTGGATGTGAACTCCGTCTATCTAGAACTCCGTCTATCTAGAACTCCGTCTATCTAGAAGTCCTGGTCTCTCGATGTTTGCAACCGGAACACCTCGTGATTATCAGTGATGAAATCTAAATTGTGACTCTCGTCGAGGCCTGAGCATTAAACTGTCTCATTTTTATGTGTGAAGATATATAATAACATCACACTGATTTCCTAACGTCCGTTGGCTCTCAAGGTGAGATTCTCAGTAAGTTATTGAACTAAAAAACAAACTGAAATTTTGATATAGGAGAAGCATGCATTGACAAAGCTGGCAAAGCTGGCTTGCATTTAAATGACATTTGGTACAAGAATGACCCGCATTTAAACGTATATATGAACATCGATGGAACAGTTGCTTATTTAAAGAAAAATTTGTACTTCAGATTGGAAAATAATATGAGCAAAGAAAAACGGCCTGCTTTTAGCGAACTCTAATAGGAAATTCGTCAGTGATATCCAGGTTGCTTTTGATGGTCATCTGAAGAAACATTCAAAAGGAAATGGGGCAGGTATTTTCCCGAAAAAGGTCACCAGCAGCATTGTTGGATCAGGAATGTGTTCATTGTGTACCTGGAGACGGTGTTCCAGAATTTCAAGAACTTGTAGATCCTCAGGAAAGCCGAAGTTCAAATGTAAAATTTTGGTGAAGATGCGAAGCGAGACGACACTGCCCTCGGGGAGTCACCGCAAGAGAGAAGGATGTTAACCCTCCACCCGGAGGGCCCAAGAAAGAAGACAGAAGAAAGAAGAAGATGAACGAAAACCCCAACCCGGGGGCCACCCCCGGGTTTGCCATCTGGAGAAGACCCGGGCCGGAAGTACCGGCAAATCCCTAATGAATGAAGGGAATAGTCGTTTTTTTTTTTTTGGGGGGCCCGGGTTGGTAAAGGATGGGTTTGTGCAGGTACAAAATTGAAATCATAATTGATGCAATAGTTAGGGTTTTCCTTCGCACTTTAGTAGTCGGAATGAGAGGCGGAATTGCCAGTGTATATGAAGCGTGGAAAATTAAATAAAAACTCTGTGGTTTAGCGCTTCTTTTTTATAAAAAAATTTAAAAAAATATATTATTAATAATAATAATAATAAATAATAATAATAATAAAGCTGTTGTGAAAATACTGTACCTTGGGAGTTTACCTGGAAGAGAGTTCCGGGGGTCAACGCCCCCGCGGCCCGGTCGTGACCAGGCCTCCTGGTGGATTTAGAGCCTGATCAACCAGGCTGTTACCGCTGGCTGCACGCAATCCAAAAGTACGAGCCACAGCCCGGCTGGGCAGGTACCGACTTTAGGTGCTTGTCCAGTGCCTGCTTCAAGACAGCCAGGGGTCTATTGGTAATCTCCCTTATGTATGCTAGGAGGCAGTTGAACAGTCTCGGGCCCCTGACACTTATTGTATTGTCTCATAACGTGCTAGTGACACCCCTGCTTTTCATTGGGGGGATGTTGCATCGTCTGCTTATTCTTTTGCTTTCGTTGTGAGTGATTTTCGTGTGAAAGTTCGGTACTAGTTCCTCCAGGATTTTCCAGGTGTATATAATCATGTATCTCTCCCGCCTGCGTTCCAGGGAGTACAGGTTCAGGAACCTCAAGCGCTCCCAGTAATTGAGGTGCTTTATCTCCTTTATGCGCGCCGTGAAGGTTCTCTGTACATTTTCTAGCTCAGCAATTTCACCTGTCTTGAAAGGTGGCGAAACGTTTCTTCTGTAAAGATTCCCATATGTTGCATAAGTGTCTCGATCATTGATTGACGTCCCCCGGCCACTAGGCCAGCCTTTTGGCTCGCAAACGTGCCATAGTTATAGGCTTATAGTTATAACATTGGACATGCTAAGCTATTCAACTTACATCTATAGTTCAGTCTAACTATGCAATTATACTCTAGATGGGATATTAGTTCATCAACGTCTTACAACTAAATTAGCCTTGCAATTAAGGATGTAGGGACGAAACGTGGCAATGTGCATGCGCTACAGCGCTCTTTCCTTCCTGATTCCCATCCCCTCCTTAACTCCTCCTGTCTCCTCTTAAACCGTTAAGACTTGAGGAACTCACTGGATTTTCCACATTATTATTATTTTTAAATATGTCAAATGTACATGGGTCACACAGTGTCATATGACAGCGGTGCTCATGGCAGCTTGGACTTATGTACTGAAGATGAGTCAAAATTGGTGTACTGCAGATCATGAGTCCTTCACCGTCAACAAGGAGTTTTCCTTGAAGGATGTGCACCTCTGAACTTTCTGTACAAAGTTGACAACCTCTTTGACCTTCGGAAATAAGTAAGAATTTTTCTTTAATTAATGCTGAGGCTCTTTTTAAGATTTAGAGAAGCAAAATTACTTTTTGGTAAATTGGGGATATTTCTTGTGAGAGTTCTCAAACCATGGCTGTCCGAAATGTTCTGCATATCTAAGGGGTTTTCCATGTGCGAGACGCAATGTCATCCAAGTTTGTACAAACGATGCATCATGTGGGAATACATTGATTGGTTGATTGATTTCACAGGGGGCAACATTCCCGTCAACACACGCCCTCCTGGCCACCTGGGCTCCACCCTTGGAGCGCTCTGTTCTCTCTACCATCATCTACGCTGGTGAGATTAACAACTGACGCTTTTTTTGTTACATTGCCCTTGAACTATTTTTGTTTTATCTTTGTCCATATTAACATGTTACTCTTATTCACTTGTTATTTTTACACAGCATCATCCTATCTACCATCTCTTTCCTGTTTTCTTTAGTAAACTTTAGTAAACTTTAGTAAACTTTAGTAACCTCCAGGGTCCCAGGCGGGTACCATCGTGGCCTTCCCTTTGTCTGCGGCCATAATTGACGGGTTGGGATGGGAAGAGTTCTTACATCGAGGGTGCATGACATTGGTCGGTGTTTGCTGGTTCCTTTTGTTGCTGATAACGGACAAGACACTCACATGACTATGGTTCGTGGAAGGATCTACATTACTGCCTCTCTAGTAGATTCAAGGTAAGAAGTAGTTGAAGAAAACAGTCTCATAAATGTCTTTTTACCAGGAGTATCACAGCACCGGTAAACATACGGTGTATTGTTAAGGGATCTAGGAATTTGTTTATTTAATGTAAATTCTAGGAGGGAATTGACTTTTAAAATTGTATGCTTCATAACATTCTACATTATTAGCAGATGGTGGATCCCTATTTCACTCAAATTATTCTCCATAAGCTATAGATACCATTTAGTTCATTGTAGCTTCACGATTAATGTTGTTGGTAGTTCAGCTTGGGATGAATGATTTACATATATCTTCAATGGTAGTGTTTGTATATTATAAAAGTAACTTGAGATAATTACATGCCCGTCTCTATGATAATGTTAGCCCCAGATTACTTTAAATCTTGTCCTTAGATTAGGTTGCTTGTCGAGTAATGAATGTGAGAAATGGTACATAGTGTATTTAGTGTGATGTTGTTAGCCTACTGGCAGCTGAGGGCATTGATCTCATACCATGGTAGGAATTAACTGATGATAATGTTGCAGCAAAAATTGTTTCTCCGTGCAAAATGTGTTTTTAGGACTTGAAGAAGAAACGAGGTATTTTGTGAAATCTTTCCTCGATGTTTGCTTACTAGGATTTATATCTTCGCTGGACCTTAAGCTTGCGGTTTATTGAAGATATCTTATATCATCCTAAAACATTGTGTCAGTGAATATACTATAATGATACTGAACTTAATAACAATCGTTACAACTTATAATAATTTAGGTAGTGAAATGATTTAGGTTTCACATGTCTATTATGTTATTATTATGAATGTATATTTTGAACATATAAACCGTGATAGTCATCGTTACTAACTATTTTCTGATTCAGTCAGCCACTTTTAAAATACGGGAACATATTATTTATAACATAAGTAAACCGCAAAATTTTTAAACTGACTTCCAGTTTATAATTATTAGTGTGGGAAAATTACATTTATCTGTAATGTAAACTCATTATGTACATAACAGTAAATAACAAAGATAATTATTCTTTATCAATGTTACATAGACAAGTAGGAATTTGGGACACCTAGGTCGCAAAAAATGTCCCCCTTCGATACCTACCACTGTCATATCCACAAGTTGCTCTAGACCTATTAATTAAATAAATATTTATACACCAGGAATGCTGGTAAATATATAAATTTGTGGACAGTATATTAAAATTAAAAAATGATTATATATAAAACACATATACATAACAGAAGGAGAATATCTTAAAATCATAACACTCACCAATTTGACTGGAGATTAATGTGTTATGTACAGGACCCCCCCCCTTTTGCCTACATTTATGAAAAATTTACTGGCCAGAATTTAAACATAAATTAGACAGCTTATCTGAGGTTCCTGGAGTTGTCCTTTCCTGTCGCCTGACACTCAAATTATGCAGGAATGCGCATCCAACAATTTCGCCTCCTATTTGAGAGGTGTCAGCCCAATTTTAACCTCTAGAGCACGAAAAATTCTTCCCATTATTCACTAATGCTTCTAGTCCAAATTAAAACAAAATGGCGACTGTCCTTCTGCGCAGGCGCAGCTTTCTGTTTTCGATGACATAAATTTTATTAAATACAGTATGGCCATCTATTTACATATAACTACTGTATTTCTGGAAAATATATACAGTATTTTCCACACTGCGGTCGGGCAGAGTTCGTTGCTAAACGACTCAAATTGCTCATTTGGCAATGTTGGAGGACCTGGGTACAAATAGGATCTGGCATCCACACGGCGGCATATTACACAAGATTTAATCACCCTTTTTACACTTTGCCGTCCTTGTGGAATCCAGAAAGTTTCCCTAATACAATTTAAGGTATCTTGTACCCCACCATTCATTACATTTTTATGGGCATTTAGCACAATTAAATTTGTTAGATGATGAGTTTTGGGCAGTAAGATAGGGTGTTTAGCCTAATCACCCAATTCAGCATTTTGTAACCTACCTCTGCACCTAATTACATTGTTCTCTAAATACAGCCCCAATTTTCTTATTATGAACCTTTCACAATTTTTCTTTCCATCATCAGTTTAATCTCATTTCCATAGATTTCCTCCTGTACCCTCTTTATCCAATATTCAAGAGGATATGAAAACTTAAATGAAATATTCATCTTGTTTAGAAATTTAAACACCAACTTAGTTACATTGATTAGTTTGGGTAAAGAAGAATACCTATTTATATCAATGGCTAAGGGAGGACAAACTATTGGAGCAGTTGGTCACAGTAATTTCAACAGGAAGCAATATACGCCTTTTGTACAGGCCAATTAGCTTTATTTATCAACCAGCTCGGTCCTTTAAACCATGATACAGCATTTACAAATTTAGCATAAGGTAAACCTCGAGATATGAAATCAGCTGGATTCTCCTCACCAGGTGTATGATTAAATGTTAACATATGCTGACCCAAACTATTATACTTCTCTTGCATCTGATTAATTCACGCGACTGTTTGTACGTACACAATTTTATGTTTCCATTATGAATCCATTGTAAGGATACCTCATTATCAGACCAAATTACAGTGTCGCTAATATTTATCTCCTGCAACTTATTTCTTATATAATTAGCTAATTTGACACCTACATAAATGGCTGTTAATTCCAACTGAGGCAAGGTACATGATTTAATTGGAGACACTTTAGCCTTAGACATAACAAGAGAAATAACACTATTACATTGAAGGTAAGCAACTGCTCCATATGCCAATTTTGAAGCATCACAAAAAAATGTGGAGTACATTTTTCCCTATTTGGATTGGCCACCTGGCGTGGGAACTCCAACATTGGAATTTTTTCATAATCACCAATTAATTCATCCCACCTGTTAATGAATTCCTCAGGTAGAATTTCATCCCAAGCACATTTAAGTTTCCATGCTTCCTGTATTAATTTCCCTCTTATAGTAGGAAGTGACACTAAACCTAGTGAATCAAAACATTTGGAAACTTCAGCAAGCAAAACACTCTTAGTTAATTTGTTGGGCATACTGTAATTATTAGGTTTTAACATTAACAAATCTCTCTCAGTATCCCAAGTTAAACCCAATACATTACTACATTTTGGCACTCCATCTCCAGGGTAATCTTGACTTATTTTGTCCTTTAATTTGGACGAATTACTATTCCATTCCCTCAGAAGCATATTTGCACTTTGCATTATTTTATTTCCCTCTCCATAAGTCATTAACAGTTCCTCTTCAGTTGACATCACACCCAGGAAATTGTCCACATAAAATTGTTTGCTTATTACTTTACTCAATGGACTTCCCATACGTTTAAGGTGTGCATTTATCGTCGCATGAAGTAGGAACGGACTGGATGTAGCACCAAATAATACGCTCCTAAAGTGAAAGGTTTTCAGAGGGCTAAGTGGGTCACTAGGATTCTCAGGCCATAAGAAGCGGGTACAATCCCGGTCAGCCTCATGTAAACCCACTCTTAGGAAAGCTTTACTTATGTCAGCCGTAAAGGCATAATTTTTCATCCTGAAATTTAACAAGATATCTCCTAATTTTTCCATCAACGACGGACCTGTCATCAAAGAGTCATTTAAACTAGGTACATTTTTGTTACTCCTGGCACTACAATTAAACACAATTCTCAGAGGAGTGGTCTTAGAATCCTTCTTCACTCCGTGATGTAACAAATAGTGACCATAAATTTTGGCTTGCTCAGGAGGTACCTCTTCTATAAATTTATTAATTAACTGCTAAGCAATTATATCTTTATAGGCAGTTAACAATTCTGGTGTCTTACTCAGTTCGCGGAGCTGAGCCTTTAATTGTCCATATGCTATTCTGTAATTAGTGGGCAATTCTGGATAGTTCAGTCTCCACGGAAGTCGTACCCAGTATTGTCCAGATTCAAATTTTACATCTCTCAGGTATTGCTCCTGAGTAAAAGAATCATCTGGACTTTCTTCATTTACATTTATTCCAATGCTGTCTAATTCCCACATTTTATGCACTGGCTCAACACCATCCTCTATGGAAGAATTATACTGGGGTACGATTTCATGAGTAAGTAAGACACACAGTTATGGTATTTGTAGTTTCCTCTAGTCATGAATTATTATTACGAGGAATCCTACCATACAGTCTTCAAAAGGGTGACACCACATTTCTTTACCATACCTTTTACAAAGGAGGCATAATAGCCACTACCCATCAAAATATTTATTGGGCCTACAGAATCATCACTTACACCTGAAGGTGCTAAATTTACATTATGTGAAAGTTTTTCTGTAGCTTTACTAAGCCCTACTGTAGTTATTTTCTCTGGAAGTCTATCTACAATTACTGCATTAACACGTTTTTTCTAATTGCCCAACCTGACAGTTACATAAACAGTGTCATACAATTGAGACCTTTTATCCGAGAGAAAACCAGATAATTTTAAAGTTGTGGGATCTCCCATCTGTACTTTCATACCATCAAGACATTTACGTTTTATGAACGTACACTGGGATCCCTGGTCCAATAATGCATTTACATTTTTTGATTTATGCCTTTTATCATCAATTTTTACCTGTAACACAGGTAAGGCTACTTCAGCAAAACCATCATTATT